ACCGGAGGCTGTGTGGGCCTGTGCCGAAGTGCCGGTCGTCGGGGAAACCGTCTGGAATTAAAAACACGCGTCCCAGACATTTCGAGTGGTTAGCGCTGTCGTAGTGTCCAGCCTTCAAGATGTGCATGCTCCTGCAGCCCCTAGAAAACAGCCAAGCTGGCAGCGCGAGCAAGGCAGTTAGTGCTGTAGGCAAAAAGGCGGCAAAAGCTTCAAATTTGTCAGAAGAACATCCTTTCCTGTTGTTCTGAAGTGTTGCCCGTAAGTAAAAACCCGAGGCCTTTACAAGTGGCTTTTTTGCTTAGTTTGAGTTGAAATGAGAAAATGGATTAATGTATCTTCCCACCAATGCTAAACCCCAGACGCTCCGACTTTTCTCACACAAAATTTTTGAAATATCTCAGTTATACTGTCTTTTTCAACTTTGTTAACACACTGAAGTTCTAGTGCAAACTAGAAAGTGAGTCACATTTCAGAAACTTCAAGTTTGTGCGAGCGAGGACAAGTGCTGGCTGATTTTTCCATGCTGATTGGATATTTTCAGATTAGGATAAATGAATATCATCACAAATATTCAGTGTAAAAGAATATTGATGAGATTACAAAAAGGCTCTCTGTAGGGACAAAAATTAGGACGAGAGGAAATGGCCTCAAGTTGCACCAGGGGAGGTTTAGATTGGATGTAAGGAAAAATTTCTTTACTGAAAGAGCGGTTAAACATTGGAACAGGCTGCCCAGGGAAGTGGTTGAGTCCCCATCCCTGGAGGTATTTAAAAGACGAGTAGATGAGGCACTTAGGGACATGGTTTAGTGAGTGGCGGTGTTGGGTCGACGGTTGGACTCGATGATCTTAGAGGTCTTTTCCAACCTCAATGGTTCTATGATTCTATGAAAAATAAGCAAATAGTTTTCTCAAATGGCACTACCTGTGAAGCAACAGTAAGGAACAAAGTGATGTAACACTTGCAATGTTTTCTCTAGCTGTGAATATGGTAACATTTGGCGTAAGGTTCTCTCTCATCACAGCCATATGGTTGATTGGGTATTTTCCTTGGAGTTTGACTGGCAGTCTTTAGGTAGAAATTGTCTGGTTTTGCTTTTTTATTGTTTAAATTTAGTGATAATATTCATTAGTGAAGGCTTGGGGTTAAATTCTGGCTGCTTTGCAATCACCGAGAAAAAAATGCTTCCATTGGGACCAAGTTTGTGCCGCATTAGTAGCCTTAAGTCCTGCTGTGCTTTGGTTGGTGCAGCTTTTTACATGAAAAGTAGAGGTTGGGTACTAATGACTTGCAATCACTTAAAATTTTATAAGAAGGAAATTATTTTCTAAGCGCTGATTTTAATTGCAAGGCTAATTTCTGAGTTATGTGCAGTTGGGTAAACTGTTAAATAGTGTTTCTAAATCACAGAAAACAAGTATATTCTGAGTTGTTTCATTTATTATTAGCAGACAGATATAACGTAAAATAAAGCTTGGGAAACACTTGTGGAAATATTTTGGCAAATATGTAAGTTGAATAACAAAAAGGTAAACTTCTGAAAGAAGTGGGATGTAACCATAAGCTTTGTGTTTTGAATGTCTAATTTAAACTTTTTGCCCAGTACCTTACTGTAAATCCTTTCCTGTCACACTGATACATTTCGTTTGTTGTACTGAAGTCTTTATGTTGCTTTCACAGAAACTCACTACGAATTTCAGACACTTCAGTTGCACTGGAGAAGTATTTTGTTTGCATATTCAAGTAAGCCCAAGCTAAAGCCATAAATTGCCACTTTGAATACTTTTTCTTACATCTTTTGTGTGCTGTCATTTTGTATTTGTCCGTATACTTATTATGAGCCCATTTTCACCTGTGTTGTAAGTCATAGTATTTGCAGGAAGCAGGATTGTGAAATATTTCTGTCATTTTATAATATAAAAAGAGATCTGAAATCTTTTTACATCTCAGTGAACAGAATTTCCTTGGTAAACACAGTCCTGCTATGTTGCCTTTTCAGCAGATACTGGGATGGTTAAAGTCTCCCATGAGGAACTTAAGCTGTTAGTTCAGTGCTGCAAAGTTGTTGTGCTTTATTTAAATGAGATATCTCATTCCTCAGAATCTGAGTCCTGTGTGTATTCAAAGGTAGTGATGTTAGTGGTAGGAGCAGTATTAAGTATTTTATCTGGCATGCACGGCTCAAGTGGCTGAATAGAAATGAACTACATCATTTCCTTGCTGCCATTTGTTTCAGATTAAAGGACCATCCAATAAACCCACAAAATCAGTGAGGTTGCACAGGTTTCACTAGACACCTGATCTGGCAGGCAGCCAGATTATTAGTGGTGATGATATGCAACATGGAGAGATCCCCGTTTGAGTTGCAGAATCTTGATTCGGTTTGGAAAGCTAACAGCTTACGAGCGGGAGAAAACACCTTTGTGGAACATTTCATATGAAAGGTGGTGGGACGCAGTGCCTTACGGTGCCGTTTTGTCAGCTTACAGTAAGACGTAATGCACACTGGAAACATTACCATCTTTTTTTCCTTTGAAAAACCAAGTGTTTATTGAATAGCAGGCAAAGACCATACAGGCCTGGTAAGGCTAAATTTGCAGCCAGGGAAGTCTTTCTCAGAAGTTGTATCTTGCTTGATTACAATGCTAGGGACATTGATATAAGCACTTCTCTTCAATGAATGGTCTCCACCTCTGTTGCAGTATCCCACATTAAATCCAACTTACCTTACTATTTATTTCTACCTTTTCCTCTGTTCTTCTTTTGCGGGAAAAAGTAAAACTCACTGGATAAGCGTAATGTTGGCAATCACTATCAAGAATAAATTAGCAATTATCTTAAAAGGTGAGTGAGACCGTCTACTTTTTTTTAGAAGAAATGAACTCTGAAGACCCGACTTTTGTTTTCATATCTTTGATTCACAAGAATTTCAGGATCATTTCTTCTTATTTGCATTGGTTTAAAGGAGTGTAGACTCATAGCCTAATTGCTTACTGTCAGCTCCATTTGGAATCGCTGGTATTTGTGCTCCAAGTGAGAAAACTGGAACATTAGTATTTGTATTCAGTTCCTTCATCGTGGGCAAGCAATTGAATTTAAGCATTTTTCAGCCTAGCTCGATTCTGATAGCTTCCTCAGAAGAGATGGTGGGGTTGAATTTCACACTTAAACGGGGCATTCTGCACCTGAGTCATACAGCGGTTCAGGAACAGATCAGAAAAGGGCTTCCTTGAGTAGCTTAGCTTTTTCACCATGTTACTTAGTCAGCATTTTGCTTATCTTGGTAGGGACAAATTAATCCATTTTACTTGGTTCTCATTCACTGGCATGTTTTTGTTATGTTTTCATTTGCAAGCTTTGCAAGAGAATGGTAATACTTAAAATCACTTTGATACTCTTAAAAAAAATGTTTATATCGCCTACCCCTTGAGAAAGAGAATTGAAATTTGGTAATAGATGTATTACTCAACAAATTGTTCATATAGGTTGAAATGTACTAATCTTGCAAGCTATATAGACAGTGGAATTTTTACTGTAAGTGGTTGCTCAATAGAGCAGTCAAAGTGAAGACTAGTTTTGTGAAACACAGCAGTCATTTTCATTTCAAAATGAAACAATTTTTCATGAAACTCTTCAGTTACTATCGACAAACTTGGAAGGGTTTGTATTGTTTGTAGGAGCCTTCTAAACTATGTTACTCTCCATCAGTTACAAAAATGTCAACTTGGGCATATGCTGAGATTTGTGCTTGGGGCTAGAGTGGGAAAAAATTCCTGTCCCTGCTCTCCCGGTGAACCGTCACGTGCCTCGATCTGTCAGGCTGGTGGCGACGGGCCCTTTGCCATCACTCCTCTTGACAGAAGTGAGCGACTGAGTGTTTGGGCTGGTGAGGAGTTGCAGTCTTGTTGCTTAGCAAATCACAGCAATAGCTTTTTTGCAGAAATTGTTTTATAACAGCTTTGATGAAATAGTGTTTTCAAAGGAGTCACATTTTTGACACTAAACCAGAACATTCAACAGTGTTGTCAGTCATTTGCATCAGGTTTTCTTGCACTAATCCACGTTCTGGCAGAAACGTTTCCAGAAATGCTAATTATACCTTTTTTGCTGGGGAGGCAGGTATGGTGGATTTTAGCTTCTGATGCTGGTGCTGTTCAAGACTAGTACACAGAGAAGTTGGCGGTGAACTTCAGGAGGAGCTGGATGTGATTCCAGGGGAACCAAGTCTTGTGTGGGGGCTGGAAATCAGCTATCTCCTTTGATTCATGCCATCTTCTTTGCACAAAGTCTACTTTGCAGATTTTGTGCGTGCGCATGTGCTGGGAAGGGTAAAGAATTTCATGCATAAATTAAGGAGGCATAAAATCACAACACTGGAAACCTGAAGCAGGCTATGTGGAAAATAAGGTCAATATAATAGGTTAATGAAATAGAAGTTGAGCAATTACTACATTTCTGTATGGTG